TATTGTTGCCGAAGGGAAAATGAATTTACAAAAGCTCAATATGTTGATTATATTGCTTAAATTTTTTTAAATATGATACTGTTATTAAATGAATTGCTGCGTTACTTACCATAAATTGAAATATAAAATATAACACATTTTTCGCGATGTACCGTAAGATTTTACGATGTTTATAGGAACCACAGACAATATTATTTAAGAAACAAAAAAAAAAACAAAAATTATGTGCTGACCTAGAAATGTGAATAATATCAATATTTAAATATTGTTATCACATCTAAATTGAGATTTTGTAAGTTACGCCTTTTGACACTCAGCTCCTATCTGAGGTCATCGTCCGTTTTTCTCAATCGATTTGGCACCAACTATAGGAAAGTATCGACACTTATAGTCATTGAAGTAATATGTACTTACGTACTAGAACAGCTATTTCAAACAAAAAATGTGCGCTACTCTGTGTTCGCGCGGTTGGTTTTTTTATCATAGAATTAGCATAGGTAGAATGATCCGTAGGTAAGATAAATGAAGTAGTTTGTATTGATAAATAGGTAAATTATATCGAGAACAATATTTAAATTTTGTCATTTATTTTTAAATTATATTTGCTTATTAATAATAATAATATAATAATATTCCACAACTATCACACAATGCCATCTAGTCCCAAGCTAAGCAGAGCTTGTGTTATGGGTACTAGACAACTGATAAACATACTTATATATTTCTAAATACATAAATATTATAGATAAATTACACCCAGACACAGAACAAATGAATGAATGAATGCTCATCACACAAACATTTGTCCTGGGTGGGAATCGAACCCACGACCTCCGGCATAGCAGTCAGGGTCACTAACCACTAGACCAATAGGCCTGTCGGTCCTTACTTAATTGATGTAATATTAACATAATATTGTCAACTCATTTAATGTAATATTACATAATATTATCAAAATTACATTTTAATTATATTTTTATCTGAATAATTTAAAAGGTATCTATGTCAAATATTAAAAAAACATACTAAATGTACGTTTAACAAAACTTATTAACATAACATTTAAATTACAAATATATTTATTTAAATTAGAACAAGAGTCGTTCATAAATGCTGGGCACGCGGGAGTTAAAAATGGACGAATTTATTCCACTTTGACTTTGATGTGGAAACCTAAAAATAATATAAAAGAATAATAAGCAGATTTAAATATGAAAAATTTGGCCTAATTATAATAACTTGTATATGTTTCTACAAAAAAAAATGTGTATAATAATATTATATTTGTCCTATACTTAAGTACCCACAGAAATGTCGCATCTGAACATATTAATTTCTTAATCTATACTCCATGACACGAGATGGCGTCTTAGGAATAATTTGTTTTATTATTAATCTAAAATACTTTTTTTATTGATTAAATATCTTATTAACCGATGAAAAGTAATTCCTTGGTTTTTACTGACATTTCTTGAATTACTTGTATAAATTCTAAGTACACACGACGACATATTTTTATGAAAAGATTTTTTTGATCAACACAACACGTGAAAACTCTACAAGCGCCATAGATAAATAAATATGTAGCAAGCTAACAAGCGCCTAGCGAGTGACCATAGATAAATAAATATGTAGGCGAGTGACTGATTAACACAGAACACTATTACCTGTTTCAGTTTATACAAAGGTACTCTGTGATTACCTGATTAAAGTGCGCTGTATGCACCGCAGTTGAGTGGAACACAGTAGCTGAATGCAGTGTCGCCTCTAGTACGTAAGTACATAATGGGTGCGTTCGACAGAAAAAAGCGCTAGCAAGCGCTTGTAAGCAAAATGGCGATCGTAAGCGGTAAGCGCTGTCAAATCGTAAGTAGCTATTTTCCTCCAGGACACGATGTTAGTTTTAACCGGGGAATCTAACCTAATTTAAATATATGTTTGTAAAGTATTCATATTAAACCTTACCAATCATGAGTTTTTAATAGCATGTATATGTTTATTCATTTCATTATATTACTTAAAACTAATATTGCACAAAACAACTTATAAACTCTACTTCAAAACAAACAAATTAAATAAGCAAAATGGCGGATTGTGTCAGCGCTACTGAAGTAGCAATCGTGTCCTGGCCGAAAACTATTTTAGCGCTTATAAGCGCTTGCTAGCGCTTTTTTCTGCCAAACGCACCCTATAGCTCAATGCTTATAGACAACCAAATCTAAGAAATACATTTTGACAGCTGTCAGATTTACAAGCATGACAACTAAAAAATGGGAACGTACAATGTTCAATTCTTAAAAAATCGATATCGATTATTTAGAGTTGGTAATCATTTACAGTTCGGTTTGAATAAAACCAGAATAAATTTAAATCAGATAATTTAAAACACAAGTTTTATCAGTTTCTTCGTATTTGTAGTTACTGCTTATTTCTAGAGGCACAGTGATAAAAATTTAAGATCGAAACTAGAAAAATTAATTTATTCAATCACTTTCAGTACAACTAGTAGAGATGTCGTTGTTTATATTAATTATTATTTGATTTTAAATAAAGCAGTCAAAATTAATGCGACTTTCAAAGTCATCCATAATCAATTTCTTTTTTGTTTTTTCTACCACTTTTGGCCAATCATCCTTTGTGACATGGACACATGCTTCAACGAATATATAAGAAACAGTCCAAAAAGTTAAAGCCTTGTCACAAAATAAGAAGACAAACACCAAATCACAAAATCACGCACAGTAAGCTCTCGAAACAGAAACAGAAACTTTTTAAGTCAATGTAGATTATGAATAATACATATTTAAAGTTCACTTTTTTCATTTGCCACTGGTTCGCAAAAAAAACCTCTGTCCTGGGAAAAACCGGCAAGAAACACAACGTGATCACCCTTCCCAGGGGTTATTATCATCCATAAATTTCTTAATATTATAATAACCCTTTTTATACAAACTTAGTTTAATAAAGTTATTGAACCTTGTGTGTATGTGGTACCGAAATGGCGAGATATTGAAATTATGTAGTGGTTATTTTAGCACGCCCTTGTATATGAGTTTATTTTGTCTACACAAATTTACTTTGACAAAGTAAAATAATTTACTTGTTTTATTCATGATTTAAGGCAATTTGATGATAAAAATTAAATCAAACAAATAACACATTAAAAAAATTAATAATTCGATTATTTGAATATTTTGCCTATTATTCGCATAACAATGAATTTTAATCATCCAAACACTACAGTAATGTACATAACAACATATCATTGAAACGATGTCAAGTAAAAAATGTTGATACTGGTTATTTTTTAAAATTTGGTTTGTTTGAAGGATTCAAATTTAAATTAGTGATAAAAACTATACACGTTGTAATGAAATATAGATAACTTCATAAATCTTCGAATTTACGTAAAAGGTTATTTTAAATCGTTTGAGTACGCTTGTGCAAAGTTAGCCTTAGAAAAAGTAGTCTTAGATTTGGTTGACTATAGTAAAATACTCTAATAAAAATATAGAGTACAAAAATACTAGGTATCGAACTAAAAGTATCGATACTACTCAGGTATCGATACTTAAGGATGAGAGATTAATGGCAAAGAATTTTTCTTTATTCAAAATTAATCGATTTGTCATAAATCGATTTTCGTAAAAAATAAATAATCGATTTATACGGAAAAAAAACGTTTTTTTTTTGTATAAACAATACAATACAAGTTACATGCTTTTCATATTCTAATGATAAGCCTAAGAGATTCATATTAACAATTTATCAGATTAAAAATCAAATAAAATTATATGAATAAAAAAATGACCAATTCAAAACTAAAATCAAGAGCAATGTTCCTTTCAAATTTCAAGGTAAGGAATTAGGAAACCAAATAGCATTATTGATACATGTTTTAGTACTATTAAACGTTTTATTTATTATAATAAATATAAAATGACGAACATCCCAACAAAATGACAAACTTATTGTCTAAAAATTAAAATATAAATCAAATAAAAAAATTTGCCATAAATGTCCAGTCCTATTTTACATTTGACTAGTTTTAAAATAAAATACTTAAAATGAGAATTACAAAAACTAAACGACTACGCTATAGTCTCAAATACTAAACTAAAATGCAAATCTTTTGTTACTCTTTAAGTTTAAACAATAAAATAATGATTATTGTCACAAATGTCCAGTCCTATTTTACATTCGACTGGTAATAAAATAAAATACATAAAAGGATTATTTAAATTCCTTGACAACTGATTTATGGTCTCAAAAACTAAAATATAAAACAATCTTTCGTTAATATTCAAGTTTATACAATAATAAAATTAAAAATAATTATTGCCACAAATTTCCAGTCTTATTTTACATTTGTTACCCGTAAGACAGCGGGATATTTTCGTTCTATGTACTGTTTTAAATTTGTAGTATTGCTACAAGTTTTTAATTCTTTCGAACAATATTTGCATATTGCTGTGGTATTATGCCTTCTTCGTTATAAAATACTTTTGGTAGCCGATTTTAGGTGTTTTACGGTTAGAAGACATTTTTATTTTTTACCAACAACGGCAACAACTTTGTCTCACTCATCACTCACTGAAACTACTTTACAAGCATACATACATGCCTATAGATGGCGCCGTTTTTATTTAATCAACTTATACGCATGAACTTAATTCGAAATTTTTCATGCAACGCATTGATGCGCTGTTTATAAAATTGAAACTTACTGCATGATTTTTTCATACATCGCATAGATACGAGCTGTTTCTGAAAATCGATTTAAACACGTAATTTATATAATCGATTTACTAAAAATAATAATTGATTTAAATAAAAATCGATTATTTTTTATGATCCCTATCGATACTTTTTGCGCATCCCTAACTCATAATCACTATGATGTTTCTTGTTTTTATTTGTAATAAATAAATTAGCAATTTAGATTATTAATTTGATTGAGTGGAACTGGAATATTTTCAGTCAAAATATAAATTATCGAAATGTCATTTTTACGTGGTTCAGAAAATTATGTATGGTGCACGACAAGTGTTCTCGGTAAAGGAGCGACTGGTGCAGTGTTTCAAGGTGTAAACAAAAATAATGGAGAGCCAGTGGCTGTGAAAACTTTTAATCAATTGAGTCATATGAGACCTCATGATGTGCAAATGCGTGAGTTCGAGGTTCTGAAAAAAGGTAAAGCATGAAAATATTGTAAAGCTCCTGGCTATTGAGGAAGAACAAGAAGGTCGCGGAAAGGTAATAGTAATGGAGCTATGCACTGGAGGGAGTCTGTTTAATATCTTAGATGATCCAGAAAACACTTATGGTCTTCAAGAACATGAGTTCTTACTAGTTTTGGAACATTTAACAGCTGGTATGAAACACTTGCGTGATAATAATTTGGTTCACAGAGATTTAAAACCTGGTAACATTATGAAGTTTATTAATGAGGATGGAACAACTACTTACAAGCTTACTGACTTCGGTGCAGCAAGAGAATTACAAGAAGAAGAGCAATTTATATCTTTATATGGTACTGAAGAATACCTTCATCCAGATATGTATGAACGAGCTGTTTTAAGAAAGCCTGTAGGAAAAAGTTTTGGAGCGACAGTGGATTTGTGGTCTATTGGTGTCACTTTATACCATGTAGCTACTGGGCAATTACCATTTAGACCATATGGTGGAAGAAAAAATAAAGAAACAATGTTCTTTATAACTACTAAAAAAGCTTCTGGAGTGATTTCGGTAAGCATGTATTTGTATACATTTTAACAATTTAAATAATAAATTGTATTCATTGCTCATAAGACAACTTATGATGAATTTGCCAAATGCCATTTATTATTTATTTTGCTATCTATATAATATATCCTGACAATCAAAGTGTAGAGAATTTCAAAAAGCATTAAGTTTCCTTTTTGTAATCACCTCTATTAAGATGTAAAAAGTATATAGGTAAATAAATAATTTAACTTGAGAGTTATTGTGTATATATACTTTTGTTGCAGGTGTACTGTAACTGTATAGCATCTTAAAGATTCACAGTGAATATATGAATCAAAACCAGAGTTAATAATATTGAATTGTAATAAACATATGTCTAATTAAAAAATTTGATGATTTATTTAGGACTGGAATACAGTCAACATGATTCTTCAACCAGGGAAGGAGCACACACTCACAGAATACTAGCGTAAAATAGCACCTCAATGCTGGTGTGTTCTGGTATGGTGAGTGTAGAGAACCGGAGACCCTTTTAACTGGAAAATAGGTATTCAATCTTAGCCCTCAGGTGTGACTATGCATCTGCAATTTAAATCATAATTAAGGATAGATGTAGATGTCTGTGGACCACAGCATCCATTTACCATCAGGTGTGGTGTGTGCTCGCTGGTCACTCTTATTTTATAAAAACAGGAAGAATTTACTCAAAACCTTTTACTGTGTAAATGTAACATTTATTAAATATTGTGTCTACTTAAATGCTACTTATCCGATTGAATATAATAAATAAATATAGCACTGTATCAATTTAGAAGTTAAGCAATAACTTATAGAAACATGAATGATTACATTATTCATAAAGATTACTTTTAAGTATTCATATAATTATTTATTTCAAGGGCACACAAACAGCAGAGAATGGACCTATTGATTGGTCAAGTGAGCTTCCCTCTCACTGCCAATTGAGTGTGGGACTGAGAAAACTTGTTACCCCTCTACTAGCAGGGCTACTTGAAGTGGACCCTCACAGAATATGGACCTTTGAGAGATTTTTTTCAGAGGTCCAAACCGTCACTTCTACTAAACCTGTCCATATATTTTATGTGAATAAAGCTGCTAGTATCAAGGTAAGTCTTTTTCTTGCCTGCATATTGCAGATTAGAGTTCAAGTTTACCAATTCATTGTATTTTATTATAGCTTCACTGTTTCAAATGTTATGTTAATTTATTATTTACATTTAAAAACGTTGAACAGGCATTATTATTATCTTATTTTCCCAACCAGTGGTGAATTGAAGTTACAAAATGTCTTGTTAATGTTTTACAAAATGACTTGTTGTTGTTTTTCAATATAGAATACAAATATAGTAAAATCCATATAAAGTGACCATCAAGGGACAGGCAACATGACGTGGTACTGAAGATCACCATGTCATGTTGCCTGTCTGTTTGACTCTCACTAAAGGGACAAATAATAGAAACAGAAGCAGAAACTTTTTATTCAATATGGATTATAAATAATACTTATTGAAAGTCACTTTTTTTTCGTTAACCACTGGTTCGCAAAGAAAACTTCTGTCCTGGGAAGAACCAGCTAGAAAGCCAGCGAGACAATTTTTTTTAAATAAGAGCTTACGATCATGTATGTTACAATTAACAACACAAAACAAATTAGAAACAGCTTGGTAGCGATCACCAGCATTACGGTAGCATTCCCAGGGCTTATTATCATCCATAAATTCCTTAATATTATAATAACCCTTTTTAAATAAACTTAGTTCAATAAAGTTTTTGAACTTTGTGTATGTCAAATTTCTTATATTTTCTGGAATTTTGTTGTAAAAGTATATACATCGCCCCAAGAATGAATTACTGACTTGGTGGAGTCGAGTAACTGGTACTACTAGCTCGTGTCTGTTCCTAGTATTTACAGAATAAATATCACTTATTTTAGCAAAGTTACTTTTATTTTTGTGTATGTATAAAAACCTAGAAATAGAAAATATAGTATTAATAGAAGTCTGTAATTTTAGTTTGCTTTTGATTGATTTTTGTTTGATAGTAAGAACTATGTACAGCGTTGTTAAGACGAGACAATACTTTCCATAGTGCTATTATCAAAGTTAGTATGCTCAATGCATTCAACTTTTCTGCAGCTTTCAGAGCTTCGGTTGCAATGGGAGTTAAACAAATCTTTTCAAGCTCTTCATCTAAATGCTATATTATAGCACTTTTTTCTACAATTAAGAAATATTTTCGATCCATGAAACTCATTTTTGTGCTCGTAATTTGTAGTGACCAATCAAAAGGTGACAAAATCAAAACACTGTTATTGATTTATGTGTGCAATTAAACATGCATCAGGGAGGTGAGTTAATGAGGGTAGCGAGAAAAAAATTAAAGACGCGCATCGCTTTATTCTATCCAGATAATCTTTTAGTAAATTACGTCACTCAAAGCAGTTGGACGCTTAACCCAGAGTCACACTAAACAAATGTATATTAATGAAAGTTTTATGAAAACCTAACTTGACTTTGCATCTACATTGCATAAAACGGTTGGTCATTATAGACGCAGTCATACTTAATTTATTCTACTGTAATTGTTATTAAATGACATAATTCTTTTTACTTTTACCACTGGTTCGGAAAAACCCTCTGTCCTGGGAAGAACCAGGAAACCATCCAGTGAAACTGTTTTTAAAGTAAAATTACACAATAAAAACAGGCTTATTAGTCAAAAATTCTTATTTCTATACATAAACTATAATTAATAAATTCAAATTCAAATTAATTTATTTGTGAATACAGGTAATGAGACAGAATAGATCTTATATGTTATATAAATATGTTCACTGCATTCAACCCTTAGGTATACAAATATTACAGTTACAAATAAATATATTACATTTCTACAATTATTTCATTTTATTATTTATATTATAATTATATGAGAAAATTCAACAATGATGTAATAATTAATTAGAATTGGATATTTACAATAATATATTGTCTAATCAAAAGTCAAATGAATTATATTTTATGCAATGTCATTATAATATGCCTATTGATGTGTCACTTAAATATTCATCGATTGAGTAGTAGCATTTCTCAATTAGAAAATGTTCAAAATTCTTTTTTAAATTTATGAATATTTTCCATTTCATGAAACATAGATGGAACCTTATTATAGATTTTAGATAATATACCGAAAACGCTTTTTCTAAGTAAAGCTGTCTTTGATGAAATTGTATGAATTTTATTTTTACGTCGATTGTTCGTTATTAGGTAATCATTAAATATTTCAAGATTAGCTTTTACAAATGTTACAACTTCATAAATATACATTGCGGGAAATGTCAATAACTTAAATTTTTTAAATTGTGGTTTACAGCTTTCTGTACTCAATATACTTGCAATAGCATGCACACCCTTTTTTGTGCTTTAAATATATCTTCGCGCCGTGTAGCATTGCCTCAAAAAATTATACCGTAGCACACAGTAGAAGATACGAAGCCGTGATATACCGTCCGTAAATCATCTTTTTAACTACTTTGGATAATATATGTAAAGCGTATGAAAATTGGTTTTTTGCAACTTTTTGCAAATATATTCTGTATGAGTCTCCCACTTTAAGTTGTTGTCAATATAAAGACCTAAGAATTTTGCTGCTTTGGTTTCACTAACCGTTTCACCATCATAATTAATGTTAAGTAAATCAAGGGGCCATTTTCGTTGATAAAAATTATTTGAGTCTTTTTTAAGTTTATTATTAAATTATTTGACTTAAGCCAGCTAAGTATGCTCTTCAGGCTGTTATTAATTTCATTTTCATAATTATTTACGTCTGTACATGTAAACACCATAGAGCTATCATCTGCAAATAGAGTCATAGGAAAGCTTACGCTGTTAGGTAAATCATTAATATGTACTAAAAACAATAAAGGACCAAGTATGCTTCCTTGAAGAACACCAAAATTTGGGGATCGAGGATAGGACCAATAAATATATTCATTTTTAGTCTTTGGACAAATCCGTGATACTTGAGTAGTTTGAATCCTATTTGTTAAGTAGGATTTTATAAGATCCAAGTGGCTTGCCTCTTACAACGTATTTATTTAATTTTATAATTAACAAGTCATGCCTGACAAAATCGAAAGCCTTCGAAATGTCCATATATAGGGCTGTCACTGGTAGTTTTCTGTCAACATTTGTAAATACTTGGTATAAAAATTCATAAATTGCTACATTAATAGATTTGTTTCTACGAAAGCCTTTTTGTTCTTTTGCAAAACTATTGAATTTTTCAAAGTAATTATATAAATTCTTATAAATTACTTTTTCTATAATTTTTGAAAATATAGAAGTCATAGCAATCGGACGATAACAGGATAAGTCCTCCCTGTCATCTTTTTAAAATAATGGTTTAATAATGGACATTTTAAGAACTTCAGGAAACACACCATCTTCAACACATAGGTTTATAATATGACTCATTACTGGGGCAATTGTGTTTCCTACGTGTTTTATTACTTTCGTCGATATGTCATCAAAACCAGTACTATTTGTGTTTTTTAATAATTTTATTGTTAATAGTATGTCATTAGGTGTAAAAAAATTAAACAAAAAATGAATTGTATTTATTATGTGTCAAATTATTGGAATATGTCATATTATTTTTGTCATCTATTGCATATACTTGGTCAATGTAATGATCATTAAACGCCTGCGCAATGTCTTTTGGATTCATTATAAATTTATTATTTATTTTAATTTGTGTTATAAAATTTGTACTAAACTCTTTATTATAATTTTTTCTGTAGCTATTAACAATTTTCCAAGTTGTTTTTGTCTTATGAAGTGACAAATTAACTATGTGATTGTAAAGTAACACTTTTGTACTTCTTACTAATCTACATTGGTCAATTTCTTGTTGGTCAATTTTCTATGGCTTGTTATCGCTTTTGGCTTCTTCGAAAAAGAAAACAATTTTCACAGGTGTTTCTGAAACCTGAGGAGAAGTATGAACACCTGCAGACATACATTTGTGAACAGATGAGCGTGGTACCCGAGTCACAGATACTATTGTATGAAGACAAGTTGCTGCTCTCCGAGATTGACGAAAACACGCTTGGTTGGTTTATTTTTATTTTATAGAATTAAGGTGTCAAACGCGCACACAGTCCAGATAAGTGGATCCTGTGGCCCATAGACATCTACATCCAACCTCGATTAAGAATCGAAATGCAGATGCATTGTCATCCCTGAGGACTAAGATGAAATGCCTCAATTCCAGTAAAATGGGTCTCCGGTTCTCTACACTCACCATATAGAGTGTGGTCCTTCTCCAGTCGAGCCGACCCTTTCTTGGTACAACCATTATACAGCTGATATATAAAAAGTTAAATTATTTATTCAGAATTACTCCACATCTGGACATAAGTTTCTTTCAATAAGTATATTTTTATGTTCTTACACCGCCACTGCATCGTTTAGGGTTTGTTAAAAGTTGTTTTGCAACCCCACCCAAATATTGTGTGGAAGAGATGATTTTGAGAGTAATAAAATCGTCTGTTGTATATATATATGTAAAAAAGTTAGTCACTATAAGTGGTATACCTGCAATACTTCAGGTAAGAACTACCCGGACACGAATGCGGAGGAGCCTCTGATGCTGTTCAACAAGAACAACAACAATGTGAGCATGGCGCCCGAGCCGGAGATACCAAAATTCCCCGTCTTCCCTAACATCGTCTCCGTAGAGAACGACGCCACTCAGGCCAAGGTACCAATAATTTTTTTGACGTATTTTAGATGGCAACAACAAATAACTTTGTTAGTATATTGTGTATTATTACTTTGTCATTTGTTTTCTTTAAGATTTTATATCGAGCAATGGTTGTATTTTTTATACAACTGAATAATTTCTCACACATTACCAGGCCAATATAAATCGTCCTTTAGGCTAGAATTGTGTATGTCAGCAACTTAATGTTGCTGTGTTCTATATGGTGAGTGTAAAGAACCGAAGACCCTTTTTATTGGAAACGAGGCATTCCAGCTTAGTCCTCAGTAGTGACAATGCATCTGCATTTTGATATCTAACTGAGGTTAGATGTCTATGGGCCACAGCATCCACTTACCATCAGGTGGACTGTGTGCTCGTTTGTCACCCATATACTATCAAAAAAATGTCCCTATCAGTGTCACAGAAATTGTTAATCTATATTTGAATTACGCCATGTCCTGACGACGTAAGAGAATATACTTTCTCACATCATCCCGTGGGCGTCATCAGAGGCGACTATAGGAAATAGTATAAGAAATAGGCGGCAGCATCTTTCTGGTAACAACATAAAAAAATACTGCAATTGCCAAACCGCCTACCAAGCGTGTGTCTATTGGAGAGACCAGTGTTCAGTAACAGACTGATTTAATCACTTATGTACCAAAATCGTAACGGTGATAGAATACACCATAAAAACGCCCAATAAAACTTAATACAGTGCTCTTGAATGACAATAATATAGTCTATTATAGAAAGAGTTTTGCGATTTACATTTTGGCTTATATGTTATAATTATAACTAAAAGTATTTTCTAGATATATCTAGTAGTCAAAGTTAATTTTGTACTATTTGATATGTCGTATATATAAAATGATATGTAGTATGTATATATTTTATAAAATATTATATTGTTATATAATTAATTGTATAACCAATTAATTAATTGTAGAACCAGAGTGACCGACATAGCCCAACGGATTAGTAAGCTGAAGTGGCAATGGGCCGGCCATATAGCTCGAAGAACCGACAACCGATGGGGAAAAAAGGTTCTCGAGTGGCAGCCTCGTACCGGTAGGCGAAGTGTAGAGCGACCCCCCACTAGATGGAGTAACGACCTGGTAAGACATACAGGAAGTCGATGGATGCAGGTGGCTCAGGACCATGCTTTGTGGCATACATTGGGGGAGGCCTATGTTTAGCAGTGGACTTGTGAAGGGCTGTTATGATGACGATATAATTAATTTTTTTTAAGGCTCGCTGGGAATTTTTTGCTGATTCTTCTTTAATTCTCTTCTCTCTCTCATTATTCTTCCATAATTTAAAGTAAATGATCGAAATGGCGACTTGCTTCAAAATGGTATTTTCATTAACTTATAAAACTAGATTCACTTGTGGGCACTTGTAGTTTTTAATAGGCAAGGTCACCGATGCACTTTCTTGCTGTTATTGTAGAGTAGGTCACTGCTCGCCACGCGGATGTACTGTACAAGGTTGATTATATTTACGATGTTATGTGTAAATATTTTAAAATGTTATCAAATAAAACTTATTCAAAATAATTGAATAAAGTAAGACTACATTATAAAATTCATTTGCCTTGAGTATTCTAGAGTCTGATGTAGTTTTATTTGACGTTCATTATAGCGTTGAACAACTTACGTAACAGACCAGCGCTCACGATGCTCCGCGCAGACACGGGAAATGATATAGTAATCAAGGATAAGTTAAATTATAGTTTTAATATACAAGAACTTTGTGTGTTTTCCCCCCTAGAGTATGGGTGACAAACGAACACACAGTTCACCTGATGGTAAGTGAATGTTGTGGCAAATAGATATCAATCTTCTCTTCGGTTAAGAATTAAAATGCAGATGCGTTGTCACAAATCAGTACTAAGATAGAATGCCTTGTTTACATTAAACAGGGTATTCAGTTATATTATGGTTGTGTTGTGAATGGGTTGATTCAATCGGGGAAGGATCGCATGATCCTGCCTCGATCAATCAACCAAAATAACAGCTTTATGTTCCGTTTCGTATGGTGAGAACTGGAGGTTTTTTTACTAGATATGAGGCATTGTATTTTATTTTTTAGGGGTGATATTATTAGGGGTTATTATTAAAAATTCAGATAAGTTATCTGCATTTTTAATTTTAATTGAGGATAGATGTAGATGTTTACGGATCTCAGCATTCACTGATCATCAGGTAAAGGTATTTATTTATAGGTAAGGTTTTTTTATAGGATAAAGGTGACAAGCGGGCATACAGAATACGCAGTCTGTGTGCTTGTTTGTCACTTTTATTCCATTATAACAAGTAGTAAAATGAATAATTTCATACAATCAACTTCAGTACGACTGAGTCAATGTATTCGAAGTCAGTTAAATACGCATTAAACTACTGGTTAGATCTTGATCAAATTTATATGGGACCACTCGAAAAGCCCCAGCTTTCAAATAAAAAAAAAGAATGATCAAAAAAGTTACCTCAAACGTTTTTCTAAGTGCACCGACACTTAGATAAAAGTTCTGAGGTAACACACATAAGAAACAGTTGAATTGAATACCTCCTCCTTTTTGAAGTCGGTAAAAAAGGATTTCTTTACGAGTATAGGTTTTAAATAAAAAGATTTTTGGCTTCGATAAATGGTGGTAGAACTACTCCGTTTACGCAGACATTGGGTGTCTTTTTAGGGACCGCCAGAGGTCTAAGGGCAACCGGTTAAAAAGCAGTGGTGACGGCTCCATGGCGCTGTGGCTTAGCAATGAGTTTCAGTGCTAAAGGCCGCGGGTTCGAATCCCGCACGGAACAAGTATTTCTATAGCCTACAAGTAATTGTTCCGGTCTGGATGTTTGTCCTTGAGAAATTTGTGTTTGTAAACTGTCCCCGCGATACAGGAGAAAATCCTAGTGTGGTGGTAACGTTTTAAAAAAAAGAAGTTATGTAGTGAATGTGTGTGTATGTGTGGTGTGCAGACGGCGTGCAGCGTGGGGCACGCGGTGCGGCGGCGTGTGGAGGCGCTGTGCGCGGTCGCGGTGCTGTGCGCGCGCTGCGTGCGGCGTTGGGGCGCCTTGCTGGGCGCGCGCCTCGCGCGGGTGAGTGCGCGCGCAGACCAGGTGGCGGCGCGCGCGCACCACGCGGCGCAAGCTGCGCGCCTGCTGCAGCTGGCCGCGCCGCATGCGCCCCACGTGCCCCACCCGCCAGCCGCCGCGCTGCTCTGCGGCGAGGCGGACGCGCTCGCCACCGCAGCGGCGGCACTCTGCGCGCGACACTCGCAGGTGACACCACCACACTACGTCTAACAATCTTATATCATACTATATCTACACGAACCAGCTAGCAGCACGCGCACACCTCGCACCGCAATAGACCCTGCAACCTCCACCCCCATGCCAGACACCGGCCCGCAGCCACGGTACTGCGCGCGTGGCACTCGTAAATGGCACGCTACCGACAATACAATATACGATACTCCTTACTGTATAAATATACATGAAAATAATATGATCACCTTAAACCACCCTATAAAAACCAAAACTACGAGAAGGATGGAGACAAAAACATAGAGTGGTATACTATAACTACTGTAATTTTCCTTTAACGCCGAGCCGATAATTCACTGCTTGAAATTCCAATTAACAATAAATTATAAACAAAAATTAATTCGCAACAGATTTCACATTCATTTTATACGGTCCAAAAACTATGCATATTACTTTATGCTGACGCGGTTCAAACCACCATACAACGAAATACTTATAATCAATGATTTCATAAGGAAGGATAGGCCCATCTAAATATTTTACTCATAACTTTTTCATACAAGAAAAAGTAGCGCATCTGTCATAACTCATAATACAAACGTCATAACATAACACAACGTAACCAGGGTCGGATTTTATAGTATAATTATCCTAATTGTACCATTATTTCATAGTTTGTAGTATAGTACCGTATATAATAAGTATAATATAATAGTATCGTAATAATACTAAGCGAAAATACCACAATTTTACATACAGGTCGATTTGTATTATTATTGAGTCCTTTTACATTTTAATATTAACCCTACAATATCGGGAATTTCTGTATTGTACATGAGTACCGTGTTTTTAATAAAATTAGAATTAGCTCCCTTTCTGGTCAATCGATGCTCGATCGATGCATTTATGTTGCATCCTTGATACAACTATAATGAGGGGCTACCACGATAAAAACTCTACGCTCCAGAAGCAATCGATTTGAAAACAGAATTTCAAAATATTTTATGAATCAGATTTTCAGATTCAATTAGGCAGATATGATTTCTTTTGTATGGTTTCTTTTCGTTTTACCCTTATTGAATATAAAATATATTAGGTACCAATATTCAATATGTAACTTACACTAAGTTCTTTGGACAAATAATAAACAGAAATAAAAATTAAACCGTCAAAAAACGAAACAACGTATAGATAAACTAGACGCGTGACGCCAAAATCCCCGCACATGGGAAAAAAGAACACGAAATGTCAAATGTGATATAATTTTTTTAAATAGTATAATTTTATTTTGCATGTACAATATTTTTGAGCGTCTGAAACCAACCCTGGCTTAATCTTGGTAATGTAACTAAACTAACTGTAAAATAAAACTTTAAAAATGCGTTTATATGTATAATAATTTAACTGTTACAAAATTAATATAAGGCTATTTACCGATGTTACAATATCCCATGTTTTTTTAAAATCTTTGCATTTTGTTACCACGCAACTAGACATATTTATGACAGGCAAATCTGTCATGCGATTTTGGGCTACAGGAGGCTCTACGTGCAGAGTGGGAGGCGGCGGCGGCGCACGAGCCCTGCCCCAATGACCTGCGCCTGCACCTCAAGGCCAAGACCCTCGTCGAAAGGTCAGCCCCACCTCTCACACTTACGAGACAGCTTATATATATACACTCAATATCACTTTTACACAATACATTTTTACGCCGTATACAATACTCTTTATTTATTTATTTATTTAACTTCATATAAACATTAGATGTATATAGGCGGACTTAATGCCTGGGGCATTATCTACCAGCTCTACCTTAGAGTTGTGCAGAGATAAAAGATGTTTATATATATATATATATATATATATATATATATATATAAAAAAAAAAAAAAATATATATATATATATATATATATATATATATATATATATATATATATTAAATATAGTATTAAATACGGCTAACTACGAACGCTAAGTTGATTCCGCCATTTTATTGACGAGCAGTTCTCGTACTTTAGATTTGAACGAAATCCGGTTTTCGGCACTCCTGATTTTGGAAGGAAGAGCGTTCCAAAGAAGAACAGATTGAACAAAGAACGATGATTGTACAAAATTAGTACTAAAAGGGGGGCACTGAAGCAAAAGGTTATTACTAGAACGGAGAACTCTATCATGGTTGGAGCTTGTAGTGTTATGCTACTTACATATCATTTTACACTATTTTAAATTTATTTTTCCATTCTGTTTTTGATTTTCTGCATTCATCTCAAAACTGGATATTTTGCATCACCTTTATTTCCATAGGATCCTGTAACGTTTTTAAACCATAAGAACACAATAACAAATCATTTTTACTTCGTATTTTCACGCTATCAGCACTTTTTAAATCGGTGTCAATGGAGTCTACCTCTTTCGATCTTTTATTTAGTTCTCCGTAACTCTGCAATTTCGGGCTTCGTGCGCGCTGTTGCGCTACCTTTTTTCCTATATCAATAATATCTCATTTTTCACTTAAATCTTGCCATTTCTCTATTACGAGCCTGAAACCAAAATTTGACATGTTTTGACATCGTTGTTTATCTGGTTGTCATGGCAATTTTTATTCAAATTCGTTACCGGTCCGATGTTTTTACTTCAAAACTTCCACAGAAATACTCTTTTCTTCTTGGCCATTTACAAAAATTTGTTTTTAATTTAAATAATTTCCCGTTCTTATCTCAGATCCGTCTTTGCGCGCGGAGCTCTCTAAAAAAAAGTATAAAAGCCGAACAATCGGCCAATAAAGTCAGTTTCGCTTCAGCTTTCAAACTAGAAGCATCTCCTAAAGGCCTTATCCCGGGGCCGCACTGCCCCGGGATCCTGCAAGCCTCTGCCTTCACCTGAAGTCGTCGCCTAGCCACGCCTACGCCTCCACCTACTAGTGCCCGCGCTATCTTTAGCCGCTGTGCGTGCTTGCTTCAACGCTGGCGCTGTGTGTGCCTACCCGGGCGTCCGGGCGCTGTGTGTGCCTACTTCAAGCGCTGCGTGTACCTACTCCAGACGCTGCGTGTGCCTACTCCGGGCGCTGTGTGTGCCTAGTCACGAAAATGAGATATTATTGATATAGGAAAAAAGGTAGCGCAACAGCGCGCACGAAGCCCGAAATTGCAGAGTTACGGAGAACTAAATAAAAGATCGAAAAAGGTAGACTCCATTGACACCGATTTAAAAAGTGCTGATAGCGTGAAAATACGAAGTGAAAATGATTTGTTATTGTGTTCTTATGGTTTAAAACCGTTACAGGATCCTATGGAAATAAAGGTGATGCAAAATATCCAGTTTTGAGGTGAATGCAGAAAATCAAAAACAGAATGGAAAAATAAATTTAAAATAGTGTAAAATGATATGTAAGTAGCATAACACTACAAGCTAAGATATTGAAAATGAGGAGTTAAATAAGATGGAGGATTAGGAGACATCAAGATAGAGTAAAGAGTAGTGAGTGCACGTAGACTACGGCGCTGACGAATGGGTAACCAGTTGAGTTGAGAGCGATAAGTAGACACATGATCATACTTTCGAAGATTAAAAATGAATCGAATGCAGTTATTAAGAAGACGGTCATATTTGTTCAAGAGTTCTGCATTCAGGTCAAAATAACACACATCACCATAGTCAAAAATGGGAAAAATTAAGGTCTGCACAATAATCGTCTTGGTCCTGGACGGGAGAAAGTTCTTCAGGCGGTAAAGAGAAAGCAAAATACCTGTCACTTTCTGACAAACACTTGCCACTTGAGTTTGCCAGCTCTAGGTGGAGTCAATGTGCAATCCAAGGTCTTTCACGGTATTACTCAGTTCTAAAATAAAACCGTTAAAAATGATCGGCGGTATAGCTGTGGGATCCACTTTCTTTATCATCCGTTGGCTACCCATTATTATAGCCTGACATTTGGATGGATTAACTTTAAGACCAAACTTGTCAGACCAATTCTTTATATACTCTAGGTCCCTATTAAGAGACTCAATTGCTATATATATATATAGTCGACCTTCGCGTGTGAGTACAACTGCAAGTCATCAGCATACAAATCGATACCTCCAATGAACACTACGCCAACTTGATTTTTACTAATTTTCAGGTTTTAATGGAAAATGACTCATTAAAGTAATAATATTATGCTCCCTAAATTTCTTAAAAAAATTTAAAGAAATAAAAAAGTTTTGAAAATTACATAACGCCAAGTAAATGTACTTTTGACAAACACGCGACATACACCGCGACTACTCGTTTTAGCGGTGTGTATTCGGGATGCGCGGGCGCTAACCGCACGACTGTATGCCGCCAACACGGATAAAGATAGGATTAAATGTTCTGAAAAAGGATCAGTGTGACCTCTGCCATCAATTTAAGAACATACCTGAAAATACTGATGAGCAGAGCGAAAAATATACAATTCATCAAAAAGAAAAGGAGTATTCTCGAAAGCTTAAATTAGAAAATAAATTACTAGCAACTAATGATAATAAAAAAAGCATGCATTGTATTTGATTTTCAGAAAGTACTGAACGCACCACATAGAAACATTAGTATTTATTATTACAGACGAAAGCTTAACATATTTAATTTTACTGTGTATGACATAACGCATAAAGAAGCATTCTGTTACATGTGGGACGAACAAACCGCAAGGAGAGGGGCAAATGAAGTCTCTAGTTGTCTTTATGATTTCTTGACTAAACTGACTTCAAAGGGAGTTACTGAAATATATCTATGGTCAGATAATTGCGGGGGCCAAAACCGTAACCGGATAGTGTACTACATGTACTTGTTAGCGGCAATTAATCTGAAAATTAAAATTTATCATCGCTTCATGGAGAAGGGACATACACAAAACAAAGGCGATTCGGTGCATGCCCTGATTGAAAAATCAGCCAAAAGAAGAGAAATTTATTCACTAGATGAATGGTACTCCTTAGTACGATGGGCAAAAGTAAATGATACGCCGTATAATGTCGTAGAAGTAAAGCAGAATATGATCTTAGATTTAAAAAAGGGTATTTACAAAAAAAAAAAAAAAATTGGACAAAAAGCGTTTCTAATGATAAAGTTTCTTGGAATAAAGTCAAAGAGATCGGGGTTAATCCAGAAAATATAGGAATGTTACGTTATAAATACAGCTTAGGTGATGTAGAAAGTCAGCAGATATAATCCTTTAAACAATCGAGTACGAGACAGTCTCGCTCAGAACCTTTTCCAGACAAAGCATATACCCATTTATTGAAAATAAATAGGGCTAAATACAAAGATTTAGTTTATTTCTGTGATAATAACATCGTACCTCAAAATATCATAATTTTTATAAGAATTTACCAGTGGCAGAGGTCGACCACGAACTTGATGGAAGCGAAGACGAGCATTGATGTCATCGGAATCAGTGTCTTGCTTCCTTATTTCGTAGCCATTTCAGTTTTTTTGTTCAGAATAATTGTTTTGTAAGTTCGTAGTTATGGAGTGAAACATGCTGATTGATCCCGTAAACACTTTAAGTAATTTAAGCGATTATTTTAATTAAAAATGTTTGAGTCACGTGTACTATTTCATAAAAGAATTTGATGTTAATTTTATGGGAATCTTGACTGTAGCTGAGATTGTTCAAATTCTTTTGTATTAATTAAAATGTTAGTTTAGTTCTCACCAATTGTGCTGATTGATCTCTATATTATTAAACAATTACGTTTATGCAGTGATTATATAAGGTTAAAATTTTATATTTACTAATATAAAAACATTTTTTTTTAATTTCCAACTTAGGTATATTACCCACTACCATAAAAGAAATTAATTATAAATAATTTTGGTAATTCAGTATATTTGTAACATGTTATTAGTATTTACAATAATATTGTTTTGACCAATTTTGTAAATTTTAATATAAAATATTGGAAAAACATACGATTTTATTAATATTTTGTGTCAAACAAAACGCTAACTGTTAACACTGCGCGTGTTATTCTACGCTATGTATGTGTTAGCGGCATGTAAAACGGTAGTTGATTTTATTACTTTCCCGATTACAAAACGCTTACTTTTTAAATTTAGAAATAAGAGAACATTTTATCAAGATATGTTAGTTGAAGCACTAAAATAATTCTATTATTGGATGTACTTTAAAATTAATACGTAATAATATTCTAGTATGGGTTTGATTAAGATTTTGGGAGTTCTCTCATATTCCGAGATATACTACGCTAACTGTGAGTTGGCGGAGTGTAAAGGAATCTCAAATGACATTTTTCCGTCTTAAACTCCGCTAACTAGAGCTAATTTTAAAATTTTTAAAAATAATTAAAATCCAATTATGCAGTTAGAAGTAACAGCAAATAATTTATTCATCCTGAAAATATCATTAATATAGGTGTGATAATAAAAAAGTTATCAATGTTTTTTCTTTAAGAGCTTCTCCTGTAAACCTACAAAATCCGAGTTGGCGTAGTGTAAATTGGAGGTAGCATCGAAATGATACGGACACTGAAGATTTGGGGTAATGAGATTTATAAATATTGAAAATAACAACGGAAATAGAATACCGTCTTGAGGAACACCAGCATGCAAGCTACACCAACTTGATGAGGACTCGTCAATGCGAACTGCTGGCGGCCTCGAATATAAGATGAGAACCACTCCAAAGCCTCAGATGAGATCATAGAAAGTGAAAGGATTGATAATAGGATGTAGTGACTGATGGCATTAAAGGCGTTAGAGAAGTCAACCAAAACCAGTACTGTGACTTTAGTTTCCTCCATGCCTGCCCTAAGCATGAGGAGCGCAGAAACAGTGCTATGACCTGGCCTAAACCAGACTATAATGAGCTTAACAGGTTATTCGAGAAGATAAAATGTGATAGCTGTTGTGTACACAAGCCTCTAGCACCTTTGATAATAAGGGAAGAATGGATATAGGTCGGAAGTGATTAGGTAAAGAAGGTTTAGAAATTTTTGGCAGAGGTATAATGTAAGCTTTACGCCACAGCGACGGAAAAACTCCAGAATCCAGAGAGAAGTTAATTATATGGGAAATAGCAGGGAGGAGATGGTCTATAATATTAATAATCATACGGCGACTGATATTGTCACAACCAATAGCATTAGACTTAATGGAGAGTATAACCTTCCTGATCTCATTCGTCGCTATTGGAGAGAAGCGGAAAGGAGCGATATTAGGACGAGGTAAACCCATTAACTGATTATCAGTTTGACACTTGGTTTGGTGATCCAGAGGTGTACGTGAAGAGAAGTGTTGATTGATATCATCCAAACCAATTGTCCTCTGAAACTCAGAATGGGACTTCTTACCAATACCCATAGTTCCAAGGAACTTCCAGATATCTGCGGGGGAAGAGGATATGATATTGTTAAGAATATATCGGCGTTTCGCGTTGCGTATCATCTGGTTACACCGATTTGTGGCAGTTTTAAAAATGGACCAATTTTTAAAACTGCAAGAAACTTTATTGTACACTAAGAAAACAAATAACATAACAAAAACATTTTTTTAATATAGAAATAGTGTGAGAAACGAGCACTCAGTCCACCTGATCGTAAGTGGTTACTGCAGGTCATGGACACTTGCAGACAACTTCACTGACTAAGATGGAATGCCTCATAGCTCTCTACACCCTTCAGAACGGAACAGCAATACAACCACTTCTATTTTACGGTAAAAATAGTTGAGACGGTTTTACCTACCCAAATAGACTTCTAGACAGAAAAGAAGTCCTACCACCTCTATTAAACCTCTATGAAAGAACTCAAATTACGAGTAGAAGAAAAATCTATTCCAAACATTAAAATGAAATACGTTAATGATCCAGTCCTAGCAGAGTTAGTTTTGGTGTCCCACTAGGCAGTGTTCTGGGACCACTACGTTTTATAATTTATATTACGACCTTTTTTTATAGGATATGGTGACAAACGAGCCCACAGTCCACCTGATGGTAAGTGGTTGCTGTGGCTCATTGACACCTACATTGAACCCGTGAGGACTAAGATGAAATGCCTCGTTTCCAGTAAAAAGGGTCTCCGGTTCTCTACACTCACCATACGAAACACAGCAGCATTAAGCTACTATTTTACGCTGGTATTCTGTGAGAGCGTGGTCCTTACCCGGTCGAGCCGACCTATTCGTGCTACAACTATACTACTTATATAACTGCAGCATGGCTCTACCAAGTTTAAACCTACCTAAATCTACGAACAATCGAATGATATTGTTTGCTGATGACTGTACAGTTATTTTTAATAGTAATAAATAATAGCTTTCTCCATCTGATTCTCTGGTGCAATAATTTTGTGCTAAGAAATAAATGTCAGAATAAGTAAAGCTTGGAATGGATTTTGGTCCCTCAAAGAAATTATGAAGAACTCACACATACACCTAAAAGACAAAACTACAGTGTTCAACTCATGCATACTACCACCATGTTTAAACTATGGAGCACAAACCTGGGGACTCATTAAGAAGTAGAGTAGAGCAGTGTAGTGCAAGTAAAAGCGATTTTAGGTTTGACCGGCTAATAAGAAAATATAACACGGTTTTGTTGCGTATGGGCAGGCTGCGCGACTCGTGGCAGCACCTGGTGCGTGACCGCGCCACGCGCTCGCTGACGTACAACGACGAGCAGTTCCACGTGCTGGAGCGTATCACCGTCGCCGAGACTGGGCGCCGCGTGCGCGCGCTGCTGCAGCGAGCTGCGCCGCTGTGCCGAGCGCGCGCCGACGCACTCGCTGACTGGTGAGTGTGCAGCAGCGTGCGGCGTGCGCGCGCTGCTGCAGCGTGTGATGAGACTGTGTGTGTGGTGGGTGAGGGAGATACGGTCGCTTTTATCTCGCGCCGCGTTTGCACGGGCCGCTTCTTGACAAAGGTGCGGCCGCGACATCAAAAGTCATCGTGCGGCGTACACCGCCAGGAGAATTTTGTATTTTAAAAGTAAGCGCTGTAGTGAAACGTTATTTGCTACCTAACTTGAGTGTTTATTTATATTCGTATTTTATTACAATAACCATAAGAATAAAATAGTACTGTATTTTATTTTTAGAAAAGGAAAACATTTATTCTGTTTGTTAAACACGGTAAAAATAAAGTAAAGGTTGTTGGCGAGATTTTACCTTCGAACAGATGGCGCTGATTGTCACTTAATTCGCGCTATACAAGCGATTTTTCTATACCATAATATTGTTGTTTTTTAAAGTATAGTAAGTTATTATAAATTACAGAATCATTCCTTCAAATATCGTTTTAATTTAGTCGGTAATTTCTCGGAACAAAGGCAAAATAATAATTGCTCCTCAGGTTGTACCGACACTATCTTTGCGAGCAGACTATATTTGTTGTCCACTTGTGTAGTTGTATTCTGCGAGTAGGAATGGCGTGCAGAGTGCACACCGCAACAGTGACTGTCCCAACGGACTTGCTTTATTTCCCAAATATTCAAATATAATGCAACAGCACACACGTTTAGACGAGATATTTCAGGAGATCAATGTCATATTTGATTGTTTTTTTGTGATTCGAAAATATGAACTCTATTCGCGGAAAAGAGACTGCTTGTGACGGACCTACGCTAATAAGTCCCATGGTGTTTACCACCTTCCACTTTCGCTGCAGTCTTTCTCCAAACGCTAATCTCACCTGCACCCTGATTATTGATGGGCGAGACTGACGATCTAATAATGACGAAAAATCACATCCAAAAAATATTTTGTCCCACCTCGCCAGCTTGATAAGTAATTAATAAATCTTCCAAGTAATAAAAAATAAGTAATATAAAAATTAATAATATAAAAAGCCTTTGTCTCTAACATTGAACCCAATAGTTGGTTAATATCATGGAATACTATAATACATACATAATAGAACGTCGGAGTGGGCGGAGCCCGTGTAGACACTAAAATGCCACTAACACGTCACTTCACAAGTATAAATGTCAACACGAGATGTGTTTTGACGTTACAATCGTTTCCTAATTTTGCATGCAAATTATTTAGAAAATGCCACACTATTACAAATAAATATGTATCAAAATCTGTCTGTCAACACAACGAATCGGGTTTGTAGTAGTGATTAACTGATAATACGACGTAATTGCTTGTATGTGCTCCCGGCGACGCCTATCCTCGTACAAAATAAGGTTGACAGCCATTCTATTGTGTATTGTAGTATTCTATGGTAAATATGCAATGTGTATTCTCATTCAGGTGTTTGATACGTAGGTACAAGGTGGCGCAGACTGTATACCTGCAGACGCAGATCCTAGATAAGGACGTATCGAGCACGGAACTAAAGCTGTTGGCTCTGACTGCGCGCTTACAGGACGCTGAGCAGAAGGTTAAAGCTGCGATTGGAGACACACCGGTAAGCAAGCAATACTTCTTTTTGTAACTTGATGGAGCGGTAAACGTTGCATCCTGTAGGTGGTTCAATTGCGCCGCGTTGAGTAGGTATCAATTTTAATTTGCTCTTAACTTTTTACAATGTAAATATAAAACTTATTAATAAAATGACCACGGCGGCACCTCTCGGATTCAGATTTAGTTTTTTTTCAGCATTAGTATAACATATGTACGGTTGAATAAAACTGGATTTTATCGCGATTAATCAACCTATTTTTAATTCCCGACGTTTCGGGTGATTTAGAGCACTCATGGTCACGGGGGGTGGCTGATTAACGTTTCAATGTTATAGTTAGATTGGTTGCTTTCAGTTTTAGAATATTAATTTTTGGTCTGATCTATGTAGAACAAGCTTACAGTATCTTGAAGTCTTGCAGTGGTATGCTTGGGCTTGGATTTAATTTTGTTAATTATAGGATCCCAAGCAGATGGCAGCACCCATCCATCTTTTCTATTGAAATTAGGATGTATTTTAATTTCAATAGCCTCGCGTATTATTCTTGCTAGGAACCGGTGTTTTTTTGCGAGTATTTGTGGTTTATCAAATCTGTTGTAATGGTGGGGACGATTCTAAACATGTTCATAGACTGCAGACTTCCCGTAGTGTCGGTGCTTCACGTCAGCTATAAGTTCTTTCCTCATTCTTCATAGTGAATCTCACCATTATTCATGACAGTTAGTTACCGTTTTTTTATTTTATGAAATAAGGGTGATAAGCGAACACAAAATTCATTTGACGACATCGAAATGCAGACGTGAATTGAGAGTGACGTGAGAGAATTTTGAGATCGCAATCTCAAAATTTGAATGGAAATTGCCTCATTACCAATAAAGATCTTTAGTTCTCTACGCTCACTACCAAACACAACAACATTATATTGCTAGTTTATACTAGGGATGGGCCGAATATGGATTTCACCGAATATGGATATTCGGCCGAATGTTCGGTAAAACTTTTACCGAACCGAATATTCGGCTGAACATTATTCGGCAGGATAACCTCGGGACCCAACCAATTTATGTCGAAACTTCTTACCGTAAAGCGCGCGGGATTAGCGCCGAACCCTGCCTCTCGCTCCCCGCCACACCTGACAGTTATTGCATCATTTCTTTAGAATTCTTTATAAAAAAGTTTTATTCTAAAAATTGAAAATTATATGATAAAAATAAGTAGAATTTACTATGAAAAGAGGACTCAAAGTAAGGAAATTTATTAATGTAATGATTTTCTTTGTTTGATTCCAAAACATTTTATCAATAAATCTACAGTGCCTCAAAAACATAAATGTATATACTTATGCATTTGAGGCACTCTAAAGTAAGTAGATTTAATCCATAAATAAAATATGCTTTCAACAGTAAAAGACATCGCATTACTCAATTCGTACATTTCAATACATTAGACACTATGAAAACGAATGTTCGGTGATTTTGCCGAATATTCGGTACCAAATATTTCGATTTATACCAAAAATTAGTATTCGGCCCATTAGTTTATACTAGTATACAGTATATATAGTGTAGTAGTGAATGAAAATTGTATATGTATTTATTATTTTATCTTGCAGCAAAGTAAAAATGATTCGACGTCGACGGAAAAAGGGAGAGAGGTGGATAAAGATAAAGAGAAGGTTGAGCGGGGGAGGCAGACGGGGGCGGGGGAGGACGCGGGAGCGAGTACGGGCGCGGGGGTGGGCGCGCGGGGTGCGGGAGTGCGCGCACTGCTGGCGGCGCACGACGAGCTGGCCGGCGCGTTGGGCGCGCGCTCCGCGCTGCTGGCGCGCGCCGCGCACCTGGCGCGCCAGCTGCAGCCCTAGCGGCCCGCGCGCGCCCGCCGGCGCCGCACGTGTCGCCGCTGCTGCCGCTGCTAGTGCGACTACCCAATCCACCGCACTTATACACACTCTACATAAGACTCCTTACATTCAACTTCACTTCAACACTAAAACTAACAATATTAACGATTCTACACAAAAACGCTCAAAAACTATTCATCTGTCTAAAATCACTAATGATTACGTAGAAATCAATTTTAATTCAAATTCTAATGTCAATCTTAATAGTGTAGTTCAATCACTGTCTAGCACCGATAATTCAAATTCTAAATACATCCATGACAACAATAGCAAAACTGAAAATAATAATTCCACGACTAATAAACTTAAATGTAATCAACTATATGACAAAGATGGAAATGAAATAAACACTGATCTTATTTATGGAAAACTAAATAAAAAGTTCGAGTCACCACATATGAACCGTGATAGCAATGTAATAAACACTGAAATGAATAATGATACTTGTTTCAGATCAAATATTGTCGATAAAAAAGACAATCACCCTAATTTGTGCAATTTTAGAGACATACAGTCTTCAGAAAGTGATCTCAATTTTAACATTAGTAGTAAAGATAGGGATAATATATTACATACGAATATAAATCAACTTACATTCATAACAGATTTAAATTACAAATATGAATGTTTCTTAAAGAAATCCATGGTTGACGATAATATGTTTGAAAAATATGATAATTATGCACAACTGCCAAATGAAAATACTAAAGAAGAAATCTGTATAGACAATAGAATAACAAAGAACAGGAATGAATATGATATACGTAGCAACTCTGCATACGATAATATTAAACCTAACGTTGCTTCTGTAGGTGTAACGACCAGTAACAGGAACGATATTGATGCCAGTAATAATAGTTCTGATTCACAGGAAACCAAAGACGAATGTGCAACGCAAAGTGATTACAGTACACGTAGTGACAGTGACAGTAGTAATAATTCTCTGCTTAGTAAACTTGGGTACAGTTTGAATGTAGATGTGGAATGTTCAGAAACCGACAGTTCCCCAATTACGTCTTCAGACGATATAATGACGTCATTGGATTCAGGAGTAAGGACCGTCATATATGAATCGGCTGGCTCGAATGAATTTGACAGTACACAAAATGGAGCGAATCCAGACATTAATAAGAATGATAATGTAAAAACGACCACAAAATCGTCTTGTATCTTAGCATAATATATATCTTAATATATATAAATTATGTGTCACGTTGTTTGTCCGCGATGGACTCCTAAAACCGATTTTAATCAAATTTACACACCGTGTGCAGTTTGGTCCAACTATATACTATATATATATAAGGTGCGTTGGGGTAATACCGGACGATTTTCGACTAGTTAAAAGAATCGGGCAAAAACTTTATTTTCTCGACATCCATATACGTCAGATTTCTGAAACATGGCGCAAATAGTTAATGGCAATTTTGCAGCCAGGTGAGCTGCAAGCTTGTTTGTAAATAATTTATTTTGATACTACAGCTATTATAAAGTAAAAGATTTCACCTATCGATTTTTTTGTTTAATTGAAGAATATAAAAATAAATGTAATTTTCTTTCTTAATCACCCAATTTGTAAAATTCAGGACTAGTTGAGCGCCATAGAATTTTAAGGAAAATTTGACGACTCCATGGCGCAGTGGCTTAACGATGAATGGCTGCGCTGGGGGTCGCGGGCTCGAATCCCGCACATAACAAGTATTTGTACGGCCTACAAATAGTTGTTCCGGGTCTGGATGTTTGTCTTTGTGCAATTTATGTTTGTAAACTGCCTCCATGATACAAGAGAAAATCTTAGTGTAGGGTAACGTTTTTAAAAAATATATAAAAAAAGGTCATTAAACGCTCCAGTTCACTTGCTTAAAAGAACGGTTATTGTTAGTATTAAAAACGGGAAACACTGCACAGGGTTAATATACTTAAAAAAATTATACAGTTTATAATTGGTAGTTTCGTAATTATGTTTTAAACATTATCCACCTTATTACAAAAAGTAGTTTATATTTAGTTTTAGATTTAAAATTAAATATTTTTAAATAATTTGACATCTGCTTTCAAATTCCTAACTCTACATTTTAGTTCACATACATATTTCTGTGGGACTTTTTTTATGAACAGATTCTGTTTGAACCTCAGACTAATTATAAACTTATCGGAAATACGACAGGAGAATCCACTTCTGATCTCGAAAAAACATCAGTATAAGGTTAAGTAATTGCTAAAAGTAGTGAAAGTTTGGGGACGGATGTTCAACTTGCTCTCCTGTTTACACGCAATTGGACAGACGCAATCAGCAATGAGACAGAGTAACGGACTATATATTCAGTATAGAGCAATTACAGTGTGACCATACCGTAATATGTCACAATTACATACTGGTGTAACGTGAGGGACGTAATTACATGATAACACCAAAATATGCCAACCAACAGCAACACTAGCCATCTCAATGTAATACAGGGCAGCTTCTCAGCTATGTTCCTCGACTGCACCAGAAGAACCACAAAAACCACGATACTATCTTAACACTAGTACTACGTAGAATTATTTGGGCGGAATCTCACGCCCACGACGCCTACAGTGCACTTAACACGGCAAAAACTATTGGGGGTTTCTTGATATACCCTCATACACCTCGCCACAATCGAATATGATGATCCGTTTGAGTGACGCAATCTCTCGTTCATTCTCGATCCAACCGGTATTTTAATGACGCGCCTACGAACCACTTTTTGTATTAAGGCAGGATAAGATTATACAGGAAATATATGTATCGATCACTTTATTAGATTAAAATTTGATATCTTTACAAAATTAAATTAGAAATAATAGTACATAATTAAGCTAGAATTTACTTCTAAAATTAGTATATAATTTATTTCTGTCTGTAAACATTCCTGTGGGCCTCAATAATTTTAAATGAAACATTTTGTTAGAAATGTTTGCATGTGTGTAGCTTTATTTTGATTTAAAAGGTATTATTTTAAAGACGAGAAAAAAAGATCAAAACCACATTCCTATGTAATTTTCCCTAATATGCCTAATTTTTATTATATTTAATTGTAAATGCACGAGGAGAAATGGATTCAGTTAATTTAGTTTAATTTTAATTAGTCATGAACTTGCTGTAATTAAGCTAGTATTATATTAATTCTTTATAATAATGATTAATGAGAAACAAATGATTAAATTATGTGTATTAATTACATCATACTATCAAAGGTGCTCTTTAATTTCTTATTAGAAAATCTGTAAATAAATATTAGTATTGATAAGTATTGATGATTAAAAATTATCTGTAAAATAAATCTAGTTTTATTTGACTATTCCAATATAGGACTTTATTCTGTATAGTAGGAAGTCATCAGGAACGAAGAAACGACAAGCAATGGGAAAGAGGAAGAAAGGTTCTCTCAAGTCCAGTCGGGCCATCTTTTAGTTGATAGCGACCTGGTATACGTTCGATGGATGCAGTCTCAAGGTGTGAGGTGGCAGTCTATGGTAGAGGCTGATATTTCACAGTGAATTTGTGAAGAGTTGACGAGAGAGTAACTATGTATTATAGTATATGTAAATATTTTTTTTTTTATATATATATATTGGCTCCTTACATATGAAATTAGCGTTTTGTCGTACTGACCACTTTGATCTAAAATATCTCCTCTTTGTTTAATAATTCCAAATTAAAATTTATAAATTCATTTAGCTGGTACGTTTGAGTTTTGAAAACAGTCTTTCATTTGTTTTTTCCTCATTATTTTTTTCTTTGGCGTCACTTATTACCGCACAATGGAAAACATGAAATATCGGTATATTTACGAGTACGAGTTCTACCGTGGCACCAGTACTGCAGAAACAGCTCGAAGGATTAATGATGTGTACGGCGCTGGTGTCGCAAAAGAAAGCACGGTACGATTTTCGTTTCAACGTTTTCGTTCTGGAAATTTCGACCTTCAGAACCAACTCCGTGGACGGCCGGAGACCAAAGTGGAAAATGAAGAATTAAAGGCTATTGTGGAAGCGGATCCATTACAAAGCACTTCAGATATATCTGCAGGCTTCAGGATATGTGATAAAACTGTATTAATACACTTGAAGCAAATCGGGAAAGTAAAAAAAAATACTTGAACGATGGGTACCTCATGAATTGACTGAATCGAACTTGCAAACACGTATCGACTGCTATGTTACTTTGTTCATCGACACAAAAATGAAGGGATTTTAAATCGAATCATTACTTGTGATGAAAATTGGATACTGTACGATAATCGAAAGCCCTCGTCGCAATGGCTGAACCCTGGAGACCCAGCCAAATCCTGCCCTAAACGAAAATTGACTCAGAAAGAGTTACTTGTGAGTTTTTGGTTGACTAGCGCCGGTGTCGTTCACTACTGCTACTGCTTTCTAAAATCTGGCCAAACGATTGCGGCAGATATCTGTTGTCGACAACTGCAAACCATGAAGGAACAACTAGCTGCTAAACAACCGAGATTAGTCAATCGCTCTAGGCCACTGCTGCTTCACGACAACGCAAGACCACAAGGTGTAAAAAAGTTGTTTTCTCGATGGATACCGCAGTCGCTCTGTGAAGAGCAAAAAGCGTCTCGCTTTACTTGGTGCGTCAGAACTCTCGAAAGAAATCTCGTCAGAAATCCTCAAATGCTGTATACAACATCGTATCAGGTGACGAATCCTGAATATACGCGTACGACTCCGAAACAAAAACCCAGTCACGAGTTTGGGTGTTCGAAAATGAGTTAAAGCCAACAAAAATTGTTCGTTCACGGATTGTTGCAAAAAAAATAGTGGCCACGTTTGTCTCCTAAACCAGCCAAGTTACGACTATTCCTCTTGAGGAACAAAGAACGGTTATTGCAGAATGGTATGCTAGCATTTGATTGCCACAGGTCGTTTCTGAACTCCGTAAAGAGAACTCCGCAACCGCCGCATCATCCTCCATCACGACAATGCGAGTTCTCACACCGCACACAGAACAAAAGAGTTTTTAGAGCAAGAAAACATAGAATTATTAGACCATCCGCCGTACAGCCCCGCCCTAAGCTCTAATGATTTCTACGCTTTCCCGAAAATAAAGAATAAATTGCGTGCACAGAGATTTTCATCACCTGAAGAAGCTGTGGAGTGTGGACGCCTACAAAACGGCCATTTTGGAGACCCCAACTTCCGAATGGAATGGTTGCTTCAATGAATTGGTGGTGGTTGGATGGAAAAATGTGTCAAATTTCGCGGAGAATACTTCGAAAAGCAATAAATACATTTTTAAATAGTAATGTTGTGTCACTTCCTTGATTCCCGAAATTTTCAGTGCTGCCCTCGTAAAATGCCAGCATGTGGGGTTTTCCTTTACTTCTCGTATTATGTTTGTATCACATTCAATAAACAATTTTAAAAGTTTGTGTGTGAAGTTGATAATCTTAAAACAAAGATGCATAACGAGTTTATGGTAAATATTTCAATCAGTCTTATTTAGCCTGCGAAGTGGACGACACAGACGGTCAGTTCAAACTAGGACTGTTGATATTTTTTAAAATATCGGATTCTCGATATATATTTTACTAGTTGTTACCCGCGGCTTCGCCCGCATGGTCACTGAGAAAACAACTATCCATTGCTTTTTGAATTGAAAGAAAACTGAGTTTTATAGATTTGTCAGAGATGCAGCCATTAAAAGGAAACTGAGCAAAATTGATTCGTCAGCCTATTTAAATGTTTTGAAACGCAGCATATAGGAAAGCATGAAAATAGCCTGTTTATTCCAAATGAAAATGCGATATTTTTGTAATTAAAGGAAACTGAGCATAATTATCCGTCAGGGATGCAGACTTTTGAAAAGAAACTGAGCTAAATTGATTCGTCAGAGATGCAGTTTTCTGAATTGAAGGGAAACTGAGCCAAATTAAAGATCCGTCAGAGATGCGGCCTATTGAGTTGAAAGGAAACTGAGCTTAATAGGTCCGTCAGAGGTGCAGCATTTGGAATTGAAAAGAAACTGAGTTAAATAGGAAATTTTGAATTAAAAAAAAATGAAAAAAACTAACTGAACACTATTTTAAGACGCTACTGTACACAATGTTTATATGTTTTTCCATACGGGGAAAGAATGTGGAGATTCTAAGCATTTGACACACGCAAACATGCTACATACAGCTGACCATGAGA